AAGAGACAGAAAAAGAAAGGAGAAGAAAAATAAAGAAAAATTATTCCAAAATTAATTTTGGAGGGATAAAAATATCTGAGAGAAAAATATAAAAATATTTATTTGTTATCAAAATAACAAAAGAGTGATATTTTTATTCCTATTTTTAAGTGCTCAATTCTCGACTCCGTTCTAGTTCGCCGGAGCTCGTAAATCTGGTGTGCTACAGATTTAGGGACGTTTGCCGTTGTATCTTTGGGGAAGTTACGCCTGAACCGTTAGCTGCCACACGGGCGTATTTTTCTTGCGGAAAGAGCTTTACTCGCCTCGGCTAAAATCTTTCCGTTTTAATTTTTAAGTTTTAATTTATTTTCCAGTTGTAATTTTTTTTTTTTAGTTCAATTGTAATTTTATGTTTTTAAATTATTTGTAAGAACTAAAAAATTACAAATCAGTTCGTAGGAATCCGTGTATTTTTATACCCGTTTAATAACATTCTCACTTTAAACAAGTTTGACTACACTACAGTCCCCACAAGTTCTACTGTCCCCACAAGTTCAAGATCAAAGACAGCGGCCCCAAATGAAATGACCGTATGTCAGCTCCCCATGTGTACCCTCTGAATGGCTTGACATATCTAACAAGTAAAGGTTCAAACTAAACCCAAATACTTACGTGCACCTAGGTACACCTTGCTAGGTGTACCAAGGCAGAGAGTGGCTACACGTAAGAAAAAGGAGCGTGGCTTTACAAATAAAAATCCTGTCCAAATCCTAGGTGCACGCGCAGAGAGAGAGATAATAAGGTATGCAAGTTTTTCTTTTTTTGTTTAAAAAAGACAAGTGTCCAATATATATTGGATAATAAATTTTACATATCATATTATATAAATTAAATTATTATTCACATTTTCTATTAAAAAATAAAAATAAAAATACCAAAATTCATAATTTTTCAATCTCTACAAATAGAGACCACATTTGATAAGTTTTGGAACACAATTAATTTATCCTTTTTTATAATTAAATTATCTTTTTGGAAGGTGATGACACAAATATATAATAAGATGAACATGTTACATACTAAGATGCGCATGTTATATAGTAAAATGAACATGTTATAGAACAAGATGAAAATGTTATAATTTTACAGATGGAATTTAGATGAACATTTTATACAATAAGATGAACATGTTACATAACAAGATGAACATGTTATAGAATAAGATGAACATGTTACATATTTACACAATAAGATGAACATATGAACGTGTTATAAAATAAGATGAACATATGAACATGTTATATAGTAAGATGAACATATGAACATTGGAACACAATTAATTTATCATTTTTTACAATTAATTTATCTTATTGGAAGATTATGACGCAAATATATAATTAGATAAATATGTTACATAGTAAGATTAACATGTTATAGAGTAAGATGAACATGTCATAGAATAAGATGAAAATGTTATATTTTTCAGAGATGAAATTTAGATGAACATGTTACATAATAAAATGAACATGTAATAGAATAAGATGAACATGTTTAGATTCCATATCTACATCACGGGCTCTCACATTATTTTCTCAATTTCCACTTCATATATAAAATTCTAGTCAATTTCTTGCTCGACTTTCACTCGTTTAATGCAAGCATCTCCGCCCTGAAATAATAAACCATAATCTACAGATAAGAACTCAAATTTATGCAATAGTCATACTATAGGGAATGAAAGTGAAAAACTAGTAGAATGTAAAATAAATTTCATAAATTAGTCTTTCGATCGAATATCCTCCACCTTCACAAACCAAAATCCTCTCTAATAAGATGAAAATGTTACATTTTTCACATATGAAATTTAGATGAACATGTTATAAAATAAGATGAACATGTTACATAATAAAATGAACATGTTATACGATAAGATGAACATGTTACATAATAAAATGAACATGTTATAGAATAAGATGAACATGTTACATAATAAAATAAACATGTTATAGAATAAGATGGACATGTTTAGATTCCATATCTACATCACGGGCTCTCACATTATTTTCTCCAATTTCCACTTCATATATAAAATTCTGGTCAATTTCTTGCTCGACTTTCACTCGTTTAATGCAAGCATCTCCGCCCTGAAATAATAAACCATAATCTACAGATAAGAACTCAAATTTATGCAATAGTCATACTATAGGGAATGAAAGTGAAAAACTAGTAGAATGTAAAATAAATTTCATAAATTAGTCTTTCGATCGAATATCCTCCACCTTCACAAACCAAAATCCTCTCTAATAAGATGAAAATGTTACATTTTTCACATATGAAATTTAGATGAACATGTTATAGAATAAGATGAACATGTTACATAATAAAATAAACATGTTATAGAATGAGATGGACATGTTTAGATTCCATATCTACATCACGGGCTCTCACATTATTTTCTCCAATTTCCACTTCATATATAAAATTCTGGTCAATTTCTTGCTCGACTTTCACTCGTTTAATGCAAGCATCTCCGTCCTGAAATAATAAACCATAATCTACAGATAAGAACTCAAATTTATGCAATAGTCATACTATAGAGAATGAAAGTGAAAAACTAGTAGAATGTAAAATAAATTTCATAAATTGGTCTTTCGATCGAATATCCTCCACCTTCACAAACCAAAATCCTCTCTAATAAGATGAAAATGTTACATTTTTCACATATGAAATTTAGATGAACATGTTATAAAATAAGATGAACATGTTACATAATAAAATGAACATGTTATACGATAAGATGAACATGTTACATAATAAAATGAACATGTTATAGAATAAGATGAACATGTTACATAATAAAATAAACATGTTATAGAATAAGATGGACATGTTTAAATTCCATATCTACATCACGGGCTCTCACATTATTTTCTCCAATTTCCACTTCATATATAAAATTCTGGTCAATTTCTTGCTCGACTTTCACTCGTTTAATGCAAGCATCTCCGCCCTGAAATAATAAACCATAATCTACAGATAAGAACTCAAATTTATGCAATAGTCATACTATAGAGAATGAAAGTGAAACACTAGTAGAATGTAAAATAAATTTCATAAATTGGTCTTTCGATCGAATATCCTCCACCTTCACAAACCAAAATCCTCTCTAATAAGATGAAAATGTTACATTTTTCACATATGAAATTTAGATGAACATATTATAAAATAAGATGAACGTGTTACATAATAAAATGAACATGTTATACGATAAGATGAACATGTTACATAATAAAATGAACATGTTATAGAATAAGATGAACATGTTACATAATAAAATAAACATGTTATAGAATGAGATGGACATGTTTAGATTCCATATCTACATCACGGGCTCTCACATTATTTTCTCCAATTTCCACTTCATATATAGAATTCTGGTCAATTTCTTGCTCGACTTTCACTCGTTTAATGCAAGCATCTCCGCCCTGAAATAATAAACCATAATCTACAGATAAGAACTCAAATTTATGCAATAGTCATACTATAGAGAATGAAAGTGAAACACTAGTATAATGTAAAATAAATTTCATAAATTGGTCTTTCGATCGAATATCCTCCACCTTCACAAACCAAAATCCTCTCTAATAAGATGAAAATGTTACATTTTTCACATATGAAATTTAGATGAACATGTTATAAAATAAGATGAAAATGTTACATAATAAAATGAACATGTTATACGATAAGATGAACATGTTACATAATAAAATGAACATGTTATAGAATAAGATGAACATGTTACATAATAAAATAAACATGTTATAGAATAAGTTGGACATGTTATAGAATAAGATGGACATGTTTAGATTCCATATCTACATCACGGGCTCTCACATTATTTTCTCCAATTTTCACTTGATAGACAAAATTCTGGTCAATTTCTTGCTCGACTTTCACTCGTTTAATGCAAGCACCCCCGCCTTGAAATAATAAACCATAATCTACATATAAGAACTCAAATTTATGCAATAGTCATACTATATGGAATGAAAGTGAAAAACTAGTAGAATGTAAAAGAAATTTCATAAATTAGTCTTTCGATCGAATATCCTCCA